TACGCAAGATGGAAACACGTAATTTAGTACGGACTATGTGACAATAGATAGCGTTGGTAAATACTAAATTGTACACAATACACAAACCGGTAGAATAAAAATAAACTGCGATAAGAATTCCAAGAATATAAATTAAATTGAATATTGTTATCTAACGATATGAAGTTTTTATGGTGTTCGAACATCGACACCGTTGTATTCGAATACTGAAATTGATCATACACTACGTTTATTTTTCTTTGGCTCTAGTTCCCGCGGTACTCACATATTATGGATTCCGTTTCGCGCACCGTAAATTTAGCATTTGTAGCTATTACCGTGGCATTATTTCTTAAAACCAAAGGTAAAAAAAAATGAAAATGGACTAAAGATTGGCTTCTGAAAAAATCTAAAAACTGTATGGTTTTAGTTCGAACACCGAATATAACACGCTTTCGATTTTCTTCGTTTTAAACACCGAAAACGAACGAAAAATCAAACGTCTCGGATTTCATCCCGTTTCCGTGGTGTCCCCGATGTTTTGCATTCGTTTTATTGCCCAATACTCGGTTCAAACTACACCATACACCAAAAGTAATACCGTAGTGCAGTGCTTCCCAACATTTTTAGACTCAAGGCACCATTTTTGATCTAAGGTTTTTTCAAGGTGCCCTTCCCCAAGTCATAGCATGAATAATTAAAAGGACAATTTCAGACCAGATAGTATTTCATGACTGTACAGAAATTGGGAACCGCTGCCGTAGTGCGCTTACTCTGTAACACGTGTACAGGGAAAACATGTGTACACGCAACGGGTTCGCGAAAGTTTTACGGGGACTGAGTAGTACCACCGTGGCGCGTACGTTCGAATTCGAACTCTCCCTGCAGTGTACGGTAACGCCGGGGGGAGAAGAAATGTACGTTCTTTCCGAGATAGAAACGTGTAGAAGAAATCCTTCGCACGAACACCGATTATTACGACGCACGGGCGTTACAAGTGACCTCTGACTGGTGTTTTCGGGGCGCAATTATTATTACACCGCGGCCGCATTCAAAATCAAAAATTCAATAAATCCAATCGTGAGCTCGGCATGCGTTTCAACGTTAGATTATATTACGTTGTACATGTATGCACGAATGTGATCTGTGGAGATAAATAAAATCCGCTGGGAGTTTTTACCTAAGTCAAATATTTGCGCTGCACAAAACCCCGGCATGAAACGCTGTATATATCGTTCGGGCATGCAGCGTTGTAATCTCATAGGGGTGTATTTTATTTGATCTTTTCGATTTCCGATTTTGACCGGAGCTCCGCGCGGAAATGTGTTTGATTTATACGGGCTATGACCGTTGTTTTATTTTTATTTTTTTCCCATTCGCGGCATACGGAATGCTCCGGTCGAATTTACGTGAAGGTCTGTCATTCGCATTTTCGAAAATCACATCTAGCGAACGGTCGTTTTATACAACCACCCATCAGCACAATTTCGACGTTTTTTGACTTTTACGGTGTACTGTAAATGTATATTGTTTCATTACACGTGCATTTGACGAGCACCGAAAACCTTAGCCCTTTTATTCTTTTAACGGATTCATCGGACTAATTATCTCTGCGTCAGCTCTATAAAAGTGATATGTCACATAACACAGGGCGTTGAATACGAAGTTCAAAACGGTTATTATCGATCTCTCGGACTACCTCTGCATGGTTTTTTCACACAAACCCGTCGTTTTTATGTATTACATATGTCTCGTAGGCATATGGTCAAATCATACTGAATATAGGGTATACAATATACTCGTACTATCATCTACGTCTATCATATTTAATTAGTTATTACCTGTACATATTTATGATTTCATTTTTAAAACAATAGTAATAATGAACATGAAATTAAATATATTATTTCATATACCAACGAGTTTTACATATTAATAAATAATACATTACTTATTTATGTATAAAATAGCAATAAATAACTGATAGAAAATATATTTAAATTTTTAAAATAATACCAAATGTTTTTTTTTATTATTTCTCTGGCGTGAAATAGGCATTTAATCATATTCCTAGTCATTTAATTAAATGACTAGGCATTTAACTTTATTTGATTTGACTATATGCCTACGACATATACCCAAATACGTATTAGAATATACATACTGTTTTTACGAGCAGCTTGTTTACGACGCTTTATTTTAAGTACGATTCAAAAATTATGGTTAGCTTTATCTATTTATTTTTTTTATATACAATATTTACGTTCAGATTTAATCACAGCGAAATTAATTGTTTTCATTTGAGTCATGGTTGTTTATTTTTTGTCATTTTGGATTTTGAAAACATTTTCATTTGCATATGAACAAGCAGGTCATTTGAAGAACACATTAAATGTTTTTCTTCGATTATTAGGGTTTACATGACGACCAGATCCGAAATTTCAACAGCGAACCGATTTATACGTCTCGAACACATCGAAATCCTCGATCAACTATTCCTCCTGTGAGCACTTAAAATTTAAATGCAAACTAAACTCTTATAGTTATTTTTGAATTCAAAGACATCCGTCACTACCGCCGACATCGAGCGAACTTTAATTTTAATAATTGTTTCGTTTTTTTCTCAGAGGAAATATCTAAAATAATATATTTCATAGTGTAAAAAAGAAAGTTATCGATCTCCATCATAATTAAAGCATACAGATTAATGTTCTATTTTCTACAGTAAACGTACGAGCTTTTACTCATTTTATCGTGATGGCTGTTATTTTTTCGTAAAATGGCATCATATTAAACCATCTTTGTATTAATACATATATATATATATAATTTATTATCCGGCCATAAGCTTATAGTTACTTAAGTATTTATACATTTCGTTTAAATTTTAGATGAACGGGGAAATTGACCAACATTAACCGGGTATTCCGTTGCACTCCGATTGCTTGCATTTCGAATAAATGTAAACAACTACAATTACTAGTTCGTTTTCTGATTTATCGTACATTGAAAATATTAGAAAAATAGTGGAAAATTAGAAAATAAAAAAAAGTTTAAGAAATCATATTGCATGGTCTGGTCACACGCTCCAAACAATATACCTATAAATAATTCAATCAAATCACGTTCGTCGACCGGAGAAAATGACAACTGAAGGTTGAACAAAGCGATCATCACTATAGCGATTATTGTAAGTCAAGCCGATAGTGTAATGGCACCGGTCGAATCGAATCCCCGGCTGTCAGCTTCACTTCCGACAGCGTTTTCCAATTTTTTTTTATCCGATAAAATATTTACGATATATATATATCGTATATATATAAATATATACGATATTACGATGTGTGCGCACGCTTATTATATTTCCTACCGAGGATTGCACTTTACCGCCACTGCTGTAATAATTTACGACGATGTGTCTGTGGTTTTAAGTCTGCTGTGGGTCCGCGTGTTGATCATTGATTTACGACGTGCCGCCGTCGATAGCGTGTATTAACGATTCGTGTTTGTCTCGGCTCCGACGAAATCTTAACCACCTTACACCGACAATGCGTTCTGACGATTAAATTATTATAAATTAGATATTATAAATTTGACGACCCGGATCAAATGAATACGTCTTCGAATTTCGAACGACGCGCACGAAGAATTTATTGGACTAGCGGTAATGTTTGTTTTTGTGGAATACATTTTTTTTCGTCAGTAAATCTGCACCGAAGTCTTGTATACTTAGCGTTACGTTGGATCGGAGTAATTTGCGGTTTTTCGTTACTTTCTGAGGGTTTTCCGAGGCGAAAGATAAAATGAATAGGAAAGACTTGAAAATAATGTCAAACGTTCCGTTCGTATTCAAACGTTTGGTGTAATATATGTTATGGTAAAAAAAAAAAAGTTTAATTTATGGATGACGGCGTCGACTGAAATCGATATTCCCACTTTTACGTTTTTAGCGTTCAAATTAAGGAAGACCTGGCTGGTTGATTATTTTTCCGTTAACGTTGCGAGTTTGAAAGACGGCGGAATCCAGACTGCAGTTTTTACGAATATTTGTTCCGTTGATTGTTCGCATGTCATTTTAAGACCTATAACTGCAGTACAAAAGTTTATCAAAATATGTCCTAATTTCATGCATCTCAATCGGGTTACAATTGATACGATAGTATAAATGCAATGCCTATTTGCGTTGCGATGTTTTCATTATACGTGTACGGAATATAAATACCGACGTAGGCTTGGAAGCGGTAAGACTTTTTTTTTCGAATAGCATCGGAGACGAGTACACTAATTGGACGTTTTTGATCGGACAACCACAGCAGATCGGTAATACAACAAATAAAAATCATTTGATATGTATTGCCACCGATACCAAATCGTATCGAATGATGTAAATTTACAAAATAATACGAACGTCGAATATTATTTCCCTGCCCGACATCGCTACACAATAACGTTAAAAAAGGGATTAATAAATTATTAATGTAATAAAATAATAGTGGATACTGCGGACACATGATCAACATAACGCGTACATTCAATCGTATAATAATAAAAATGTATTTCAATAACAATAATATTGGGTAAACAACAAAGAAAAGAAATATGTTTTATACATCACAATTTTCAGAAAAAAAATTCTTTAGTCAAAATACTTATAATACAATATGATGTTCAATATAGTCGTACAAATATGAAAACACTTGAAAAAAAACATTCGAATACAATATTTATGCACATAGTGAATATTATGTATGTCACGCATGAACTTTTCGATAATTGTAAGAACAAATATTATTTTAATTTTAACTTCTTCATTTTTTTTTCAACTTAATTATTATAAAATTACTATGCGATAATATCTTTACGTCGTGAAAATGCTTACATAAAATTTGTCATGGTCAAAACGCATAAATAAACTTTGGTCTTAAATTACAACAAAATAATAAATAAATAAATTAAGTGTTTTTCACGTAATTAAAATAATAATAATAAAAAAAAAAAAAAAAAAAAACAATAAGTCAGAATGAAATGAAAAAAATATATATTTATAATAATAATCTAAAATAGATATGAGAAAGTCTAACATAATAAGAATGATATCGTTGTATGATATGATGTTGGCAGGATCCAAGAATCGATCAACTTCTTGATGGGTCCCAGTGATATCGTTGACGCTAAAGCGGATTGTCATTCCACCAACGATTTTTTGTTGCCATTCACTCTTGGGTAAAGCTGCAAAACGAAAAACAACAAATATCTGTACATTACCATATCGCTTCAATATATAAAATGTCAGCCAGTCGGCTGTACATAAAAAATTTTAAATTAAATCCCATACATACATTATGCATACACAAGCACGAGAATGCAATTCCTAATACTGAACACTTATACTATATACTTATACACTATATACGTACTATATATATTTATCATTTATGTACATAAATATGCACAAAAGTATGACTTAATTGTTAATAATAATAAACTGATTGAGACCCGCTGAATTGTATTTTAACATAAATGTTCTTTTCGCTATCAGAATAAATGTTTTTCGATCGATAATTTGCGTTAACACGCCACAATTTTCCAATAGCTACGCAGAAGTTTCTGGAGCGAAAAAACGAAAACGCATAAGAGCACGCGTCATACTTTTAAAACCCTAAAAAAAAAATAGTCAAACCTCGGAGAGCATTTCCACGAACGTATAACAATAACGGCAATGGTTATTTTTTTGGCATTGGTTTCGATAAATATCGTATGGGCGGACGGCGATAAAAACAAATACTGTTTTTGGATAACTGATTCGGTGAACATTTTTTTTCGTTTTCAATGTACTAAATATATATATATATATATATATATATATATATCACGACAATCGACTCACCCCGAGAAGATTACGCGGCACGTATCCTTCGCGGTCGTCGATCCTCGACCACCACCATTCCCGTTCGGTGTCGTCACCTTTCCGTAACACGACAATCCGGTCACCATTGTCGAAAGTCAACTCGTCCTGGTTGTGAGCTTCATATCCGAAAACCGCATATACCACGCCATTGTTCATTATGCCCAATTTCTCTTGGATGCCTGAGGAATCAAAAACATTTATGGTTAATTGTTTTAAATTTTCGTTGACATTTTCAACAACGTTCCGTGAGTTTTTAAATAATGTTACGGTTTGTTTCGTAAAATTATTGTATACATATTTTAATCGACCATTAATTTCCAAGATAATTCCCAAAACATAGTACTGAGTGGAAGTACCCACTAGTCGTAGGTTGTTGAATATACATAAATAACGACATGGTACAACTCACTGTAAAGAAATTCGGAACACCCGTCGAAACCTTCTTCGTCCTCCTCACACTTCTCCGCCGCTGTCTCCTGGTCAGACAACGTTGTGGCAAATATGCATGCCCCATGCTCTACCAGAAATCGGACCATGGCCAAGTTGTTGCAGCTAGCGGCACAGTGCAACGGTGTCCTGCAAGCATCGAAAGGAAAAACATAAGCCAATGACAACGAGGGCAAGACGCGCATGGTGTAAAGTAAATTTTTCAAAAATTAAATCACCGTGGTTATTATTTGTTTAAAAAAAAGATAAAATATAAAATTGAAATTCTACATTATGCTTACTTAGTATTTTTATGAAATTATAAACATGGCTGCAGACCTTAAAAATTCAGTACATAGTGTCTGTGCTGGTAGCACATATGGTACATAATTTAAGAACATGTATGATTATGGAAAAAAAATACGAAATCCTTCAATGTATCAATTTCGGGTTTTTTTTTAATTATTATTATTATTATTGAAATAGTTAAAAATAGTACAACCAAAATAAAAATAAAAATTAGAAATGTTGTTTAGGAACTACGATGAAAAATCAGTAACTTCGTTTTTCTGTTCCGTAATATGGAATGGTGTATTTAAAATTAAATTCCTTATTAAAAATTACAACCCATTATCTAGTCGGAGCTTCGAAAGAATTAAAATTATGCAAATTAAAAATGTAGAGAATATTGGAAAACCTAGTAATATAATCCTGAAAATCATATGTGTACGGTGTACGTACAGAGTTACACATGTGTACCTAGTGCACTAGGCAATTATGTACTTAATTTTTGGGAAGGCGGTTAATCCCCATCGAAATGATTGGGGGTTAAATAATGTGCAATAAAGTAGTATATCTTAATATATCTTAATTCGTGTTTACTATAATACGATAGCTTCTACCCCTAAATTTTGTGTTTGTACACACAAGCTTTTATGTAGTGTAGTACAAGATAGTTTTGAATACCAGTGCAATAATTCTATTATAGTTAGAAATTTATTTCCTGATATGTTACTTCAATATGAATTTAATTATCGTAAAATTAATTTCATGATACGCAGTTCAACTTCTATCAAAATTAAGATACGTGTATCGATTTTGTTGAGTCCATAGGAAATAACGTTATATTTTTTTAATGACTTTTAATAACTTCGTTATAAGTATATATGGATAGCTTATTGTGTTTTAGAAAAGATTTAAAATAAACCCGTAGACATGGATATATAGATGTGTTATAAAATTTAATCCAACAAATGCACGCTTCGTCCTATATTTATAATTAGGTTTAGCTCGTAATTCAATAATATAATTACAATTAATACACTATACATACTTACGATATGAATGAGACAAAAAATATAAAATTATTTATGTTCGAAGATAGGAAAAATAAATTTTTATCAGTCCCGTGGCACACTCCGATAGTGACAGTCGTGTAAGTTAAGGTTCAGTGCGTTATCTACATCACAACGTTGTCATACGGTTTCACCACAAATAAATCTAACATGTACGCATTAAAGGTAAGAATTTAATTATAACGCTAATTGATTTCATACCACCGTACAAAATGAGTTTTACTCAACACAGTGCACATCCTCCTAACCGAGGATCCCCTAAGTCACCCAAACCCCCCTCCTCACCTAATAGACTTATTCCTACCAAACAACTAAGCACCTCCTCAAAAAGTCCACAACCAAACGAAAATGCAGCACACAAATCTAAGACCTCAACCAATACGATCAACAATAATATAACATTATCCAGCCAACAGAAACAATAGCCTCAACCTATACCTACCACCTTCAACAACAACCCTACAACAACATTCGCTGAGAAATTGGGCAATGGCCTGTTCCCTAAAAAGGAACAAGCAATTGTCTTCGACGCAGTAGATGAAGTATCGCAAATCGAATATATAAAAAAGATTCTGCATCATCTTAAATTCCAAAGAACTAGTTACCGAACTAATATCAAAACATAAGACAATTGAAATACAAAATAAATTAATTCATATTCGCCACACTCAAGAACATAGTAATAAGTACACAAGGAAACGCAGACCCTATCGATATATGCAAACAATATGGAACTGATAACAAAACTGTGCTAAACACGATAGAGATGGTCAGACCAGCAATTAAATCTCATAGCCTGAAAAATAGATTGACTCGCTTATCAACCAAATTATTAGAATCAATGGATTTAGATAATAGCGAAACAACCGTCCTCGATACGGATTACCTTCGTCACCCAATAATTACCTAACCAATTAATTAGGTAATTAATCACTTCACAACGCAAAACAATGTCTCACATACAAAATATATACCGAAACACATACATAAATAACCTGTATCCCATACCCACATATAATACAATACTTAACATGCATAATATAATATCAAATAATATAAATACGAATCATAATATACTACAATGGAATATCAAAGGATTCCATAAAAAAATTGACGACCTTAAAAGATTAATTCTTAAATACTCACCACTTGTTATCTGCCTACAAGAAACAAATTTCATCCAAAATCACACACCCGAACTTAAAGCCTAACCTCAAAAAATCGCTCCATTAGAAGTAGAGCCAGTGGAGGCGCATCAATCTACGCAAACTCATCCTTCCCCTCTAAAGAAATTAAAATCACTTCCAATTTTGAAGTAACAGCAATAACCGTTTTCACAAAAGAAAAAATAACTATCTGTAACATATATCTTCCAAACCAACACGATTTTGAAATTGAAAATCTAGAAAATATAATCAATCAACTACCACAACCCTACATACTAACCGGCGATTTTAATAGCCATAAATCTCTATGGGGAAGCAATCATATCGATATGAGAGGAAAAAAAATAGAAAAAATGCTAGACTATAATTATATCACACTGCTAAACGACGAAAGTCCTACGCATTTCAATGCTACGAATGGATCCTTATCCGCCATAGATCTATCCTTTTCATCAGTAAATATATCAACCAATCTCGAATGGGGGGTAGAATAAGAATTATATAACAGTGATCATTGGCCTATTATCATAAAAATCTATAACAGAGATTCCACTTTATTAGTATGTGAAACCAAAAATAAATGGAATTTAAAAAAACCTAATTGGGAATTATTTTCCAATACAATTCAAGCTGAACTTATAAAATGCTCTCCTCTGGATAATAATAACATAGACGAAATAGCTGAGAACTTTACAAAAATAATTCATGACACTGGTATGAATATAATTAAAAAAAAAAAAGTACAGTGGAATCAAAAAACCCGTACCTTGGTGGTCGGAAGAATGTAAAAACATAATCCAAACCAAAAATAAAGCCTTAAATAAATTCCGAAAAAGTAGAAATATAATCGACCTAATCGAATTTAAAAAACAAAGAGCTAAAGCTAAATACATAATAAAAAATTGCAAAACAAACTCATGGAACCAATTTACGTCATCAATATCCTAATATAATCCTAATATAGTATGGAACAAAATTAAATCTATTAAAGATGTTCAAAATTCAACTGTTATCAAATCACTTAGAACCAATAATAATAAAACCATTATTACAGAACCTAAAAAAATAGCAAACGCACTCGGTAAATACTTCCAGGAAGTAAGCGACGATAAAAACTTTGACCCCAATTTTTTAATTTACAAATCGGAAGTTGAAAAACAAAATATAAATCTCAGAGAACCAATCACAGCTGAACATATGACACGCCATATCTAAATTTAATGATAACAAGAAAAGAACTTGATAAAATTATTAGTGAGCAAAAGAGCAACTGCTGTGGACCGGATGACATTCCATTTATATTTATACAAAATCTACCCGAAATAGGAAAAACTACATTACTCGAAATATTCAATATAATGTGGACACAACACAAGTTCCCAAAAAAATGGAAACATGCAACCATTATTCCAATACATAAACCTAACCAAATCAAATTCTTAGTACAAGGATACAGGCCAATATCACTTTTATGTACAATGAGCAAAATATTTGAAAAAATAATCAGCGTCCGACTTAATTGGTTCCTAGAGAAAAATAAACTACTCGCAGAAGAACAATTTGGATTTCGGAAAAACAGATCTACCTACGACTGCCTCATAAACATTGAGACAGAAATATGCGAAAAAATTGCATGTAATCAATACATGGGACTGATAAGTTTCGATATACAAAAGGCATACAATATGACATGGAGAAGGTAACATTCTATACTTTATACAAAATTTTTTAACTGATCGTACATTTGAAGTTGCTGTCAACGGACAAAACTCGTGGTTATATAATCTCAACAACGGGATTGCCCAAGGCTCCTCTTTAAGTGTAAAATTATTTCTAATAGCAGTAAATGATTTAGTTAAACGTATACCATCCCCCGGAAAAATTACATTATATGCGGACGACAGCAATATCTTCGTCCGACATAAATGTATTGACACTATAGAAAATGAACTTCAGAAATACACAAACTCGTTATTCGAATGGAGTAAAAGCACAGGATTCAAATTCTCACCTGAGAAATCTCAATCAATAATTTTTACACACAAAAGAATTAATAAAAAACTTACCATTAAAATGGACAACAAAATAATTCCTTATACAAAACACTTAAAAATATTAGGCCTTATCTTCGACAAAAAACGTACACGGACAGCACACATAAAAAAATTAAATGACATAGCAAAAAAAAGATTGAATATTAACAAAGTACTCTCAAGTACGAAATGGGGAGCAGACGTTAAGACCCTTATAAATATATACAAATCTCTCATCAGATCAATTTTGGATTACGGATCAACCCTATACATGACAGCGAAAAACTAAATACTGGCAAAACTTGATGTTATCCATAATGCTGGCCTAAGAATGGCATCAGGTGCCTTTAGAAGTAGCCCCATTAATAGTATACTCAATATTACGGGAGAACAACCTCTTAGTAGTCGAAGAAATCAGCTTATACTTCAATACGCAATAAGAACAGCAACTGACCCGAATAAACCAACGTACTCCATAATTTTCAACAACAGATTTGAAAATACTTTTAATAACAACCAAAAATTAATACGACCCATATACAAAAGGATTAATGAGATAGAACGAGAACTTAAATTAGAAATAAATAATATAATGACTAGAGAAGTACCCATAAAACCACCTTGGACAACGACAAAATACTTATTTGACATGTCAATAGCGCACTAAAACAAAAAAGAAACATCAACTCATGCATACAAAAATTTATTCTATGAAGTATCAAACAAATTATACACAGACACCTCAAAAACAGACAATGACGTGGGTGTTGCGGCAGTCATCCAACAGACCGAACTCTCAGAGAGGCTGTCCGATTATTGTAGCATATACTCAGCTGAAGCACTCGTTATATATAAAGCCCTATCCTATATAATAAGTACTAACTTGCAAAATAAAAAGTATGTAATTTTTACAGACTCTATGAGCACTCTAACTAGCATTAGTAATATTAATAACGATAATATCATTGTCAATAAAATTATCAACTTGACACATACATTTAGCAACAACATAATTTTTTCATGGATACCTGGACACTGCGGAATAACTGGCAACGAAAGGGTGGACAAACTAGCCAAGGAAAAAGCGAACAATCTAAATCAACAAACTCTCTGGAATATAAACTCAGACAAAGATATTAAAACAATTATATACAACCGATTTAAAAACAAATGGCAAAACGAATGGGTAAAAATGGACACTAAATTAAACGAAATAAAAAGAACTACAGAAAAATGGAATAACTCAGTTTTCCTCAAAAGAAGAGATGAAGTTATATTAAATTGCCTTAGAATAGGGCATACATACTACACGCACGTACATCTCATGAAAAAAAGAACCTCCCAAAATATGTCATACATGTGGACACCCAACTTCAATCAAACACATCATCACAGAATGCAGAGACACTCAAGAGGCCCGAATAAAACACAACATACCTGAGCACCTTCACGACGCACTCGGCACGGACATAGAAGCCATCCAAAACATATTATTCATAAAAATTATTAAATTGTACAACTTAGTTTAAGCACCCTAGTAAAAAAGCCAATGGTCCCGTTATCGAGGCTTTCCTTTTTTTTCCCCTTAATAAAAAAAAAAAAAAAATTTATCGCCCAAGTGATCGCAAACTACCCTAAAATGGGGTAACAATAATAATGGCGTAACAATGATAATTCGGGTTAACATTGACAGTTAATATTATTTTATCAAAATATTGATACAAACCATATATAAAGTTTATGAATTGTTATTTTTTTGTATATAAAAATAAATGAAATAAAAGAGTTACATCCTAAAATACGGTTTCGATAAACCGTTCTAATATTTTTAATCAGTTGTTATTAAACATTTTTATCAAAAATTAACTAAACCTTTGGTAAAATTAAGATCTGTGCTAAGTAAATTTCAAGTACAGTAATTTATTTATATTTAATTACATTAAAAACATGATAATGTCACAGACTTTAAAATATATTGTTATGTATTATATAATTTTTTTCTTAATGACTCTAAAAAAGACTCCTGGGACTCGGCTTTATAAGAACTATAAAGTTACTGAGCTGGAAAAAGCCTTAAAAAATATAGGTAAAGACTAAATTTATATTTTAGCGACCAGCAAATTGTATAATATTCCTTACAGAACATTGACGAATTATAACCGTTGAATATTTTGAGAGTTTACAAAAAATGTTTGAAGATGTTGCTGCTCAGAATATTTACAACTACGATAAGATTAACTTGTAATATTATCCAGGGAAAATCAAGATGCATTTTACAAAAGAAACAAAATATTCCTGAGCATGTCCAAGAACCCTCAAAATCAGTAACATCCTTGATTTGTAGTCTACTGCTGATGTTCTTTTGGCTTTATATATTATATTTAAATCTAGAGAAATGTGGCAATCGTAGATAGAAAGTGAACCAAAATGAAAACCTTTTTGTACAGATTTATTTTATGTAAAATGTTCCAGTTATAATTTCATATCGTATAGTAGGATTTATGGAGTGACTTAATGAAATTATCTCTTATTATTATTAAATCATGACTATACAATTATAATGATCATAATATTAAGAGAAGTTTATTTAAATTTAAATTTAAGGAAATCAAAGTTAGTAAGAAATTATTCATTTAGGTTGATTTATAATTATAATAAACCTTTATCAAAGTTACCCCCTCATGTAAATTAATATTTCTCAAAAACTACAATTCCGGAAAAGATGAATGTGGTCATATTGATAGCAAATGGTATAATTCAAAAATATAAAGGCTATTGAAGGTACTCTATTTGGCAGTTAGCATCAATGGTTATATTAAATAATTAAAATATATGAGAAATTATCAATATTTTTTTTTTTTAAGAATGTAAAATCATATAATTGAACTAGATAAACTATAAAACTATATAGTTATTTTAACAAAAGTTAAATGAAGTATAAATAAAAACACTGAGAAAAATTATCAAATTTACTCCATATTACGGAAATTAAAATGATTATTTATGTAAAAATACTAATACTCATGGTAGAACATTTTAATCAAGATTTATATACGTATTATATTTATATACGTATAGTTATACTAAATAATATGCATGGGTGAACATTTATATTTTATGCAAAACTATTACTCACGGAAACGCGTCTTTTCGTTTTCAATTAAATTAATTATTAAATTAAAAAATAATACAAATGTATAGAATATTATATACATATAATACGATTATAAATTAATAACTAGAATGAAACCTATAAAAGTCATTTACACTGGACAGTTGTCGTTATCGCTGCTGTAAAATATAATTGTTTATATTTATAAAACTAAATTGATATTCCCAACAAATATACATAATACATAAATGAATATTCATGAACACTACTAATTTAAATAAGTATTTTTATTTTCACAGAAGCAAATTAAATTAAAAAAAAAGTTAAACGTGAAAAGTATTTCAAATTTAAGTTGACGTGCGTATACCATTACTATAATACGAGTCAATACATACCATCCATCAGAGTCCTGAGCGTTTACATCACAGCCAAACTTAACTAAAAACTTAACAATGTCTATATGGCCGGCGCATATGGCATTGTGTAGTGCAGTTATCCCTTCGTCGTTGGCCGCACTCGGGTCTCCAACCTAAAATGCAACAACGAACAAATGTTTCAGGCAATAAAAATAAGTATTACACATGTAAAATAATATATTATAATACGGGAGCGTTCGAATTATACAGAATATATATAAGTATCACGAAGATATGGCATATATTTTTACGCAGTTTTAATATAAAAATTACCATTTCTTCATAATATGTAGTCTATAAATAACAATCCCTCGCATTTCTTTCCCTTCAAAACAGTTAACACAAGATAGCATATCCATCTTATTTATACATAGCAGGACAAGATGATACCAAACTCACCCTGTGTGTAAATACGATTATGTATACGTACTTTTTTGCATACTAAGCCGACGAACGAAGGAACCCCCGAAAAGTATTCGCAAACTCCAAAATAACTCGATTTTGTTTAGGAACCTTCAGAAAACATTCACGTTTACATTCCAGACCTATTTGCCCGGAAATAAAATGCGGTGAACAAGACCCTCTCATCGAGTTATATTCATATTGCGGCGATGTTATTGTAAAACTTTAAAGCGAAGTCGAACACACTTACTTGTTCGGCGGTCCGCATAACCAGCTCAAGTTCTCCTTCCAGCGAGGCGTCCAACAGCAATGCAAGTGGGTCAAATGATACCCGACGTTTGTGACCGATATTTCCACCCGACTCCTTGAGATTGCCCTTTTTGCGCACTACTAGCCTGTTCCTGCATTCCACTGTAAGCATAAAATCATGCTAATAAAACATGCCTTTATGGATATAATTATAGTAAATTGTTATTGTTGAGATTTTTGAGGTAGCAAAATGAGCTGTTACGATATTATAATTAGTTCAAGGTACATGGTATTTCACGATTTTGTATTAAAAAATGAGATGCAAATTCGTTTTACTTAGACGGGTTTTGGTACTAATTGTAATTTAAGTATATAGTCGTTTAAAAACAGTTTAAAATCATTTAAAACGCTGTATAATAGAAGTCGATAAAGTTTAAAAAACCCTGGCTATAAGTTTTGTTAATAATAAATGTAAAATTTAAATTTAAATAAACCAAAATTAAAACTGATATTTATGCAAATTACTGTATACACTGTTAATTTAAATGAAATATACTAACCGAAATTCTATTTTAATTTTAAATGTGTTCGATACCAAAATGGTAATATTATTTATTTCTTATGTTTATTGCATGCTATAAAGTATTCAAATAATTTTTGACTGTAGGTCACTATAATAAATATTAATTTTTTGAAGAATCATCTTATTTGTTAAAATATCATCAATCTCCCAATACATTTCTTCAATAATATTAAACCAGCCCTCTAATTCAGCCAGTTTATGAGATTCGATTGTTTTTTAATAACTTTTTCCTTCTTTTAATTCAATAAAAATCTTAAAGAAAATTAGTTAACTATATTTGATTTGATTTTCGAACGATACGCTTATGATGATTTACACAACGTTACTAAATATAATTGAAAAGCGTCAAATTGAAGATTATTGCTACAGTCTCATGTGTGTACAGTACATAATAATTCACCATGGAAATACTTCGGATGTCGCAACTTTTACACGTTACAATGTACCAACATTACACGATCGGAACGGAAACAAGGAAGCGTTAAAAGTTAAAGTTTAAATTAATGAACCTCAGTCAAAGGCAAAACTATATGTGAAATGTTAAACATGCGCTCTCTCGTATCATAATAATATGCTGTTTTTGTTTCCCGTGTTACCGCAGTGTTATGTATATAGGTACGTGTGGTGGCGATGATATGGGCCACATTCATACACACACATCTATTTACTGAGTTAAAATTCTAGGTAATAAGGATTAAAACGTGTTCAGAGGTCTGCGTTACCGCGATTTTAATTAAATAATATAATGTAATACATTACTAGATAAAATGTGAACAAACGAAGCTATCTGATTTACGTCAAATCAAAGTTGTTAATAAATCATTTTTACAAATTCCTTCACGAAATCAATCATGTATAAAAGTCGGAATATTTCTAACCACTGCAAGATAAATGAGAACTCGACACCTAAAAATAGCATAGCCCGTATAGTCTTATTTAATGCTATTATTTATTAGAAAAAAGTTATCCATTAGTTTTTGAAAGTGTTTAATATTTATCTTATGGTTATTTTTTTCAATTAACATAAAACTAATGCTGTAACATCAAGGGGAAAATATGTGTTTATTTAATTTGATGAAAATCTGATTTCAAAATTCAATCTGCTAATCCGTTCTAGGGTTATTTTTAGACCAAAATAATGTATTGCAGAAGAATACTAAAACAATCGACCATCAAAAGTATTTATAAAAAAATAAATATTGAATTAAACTTGCATTTAAAAAAAAAAAAAACCATTTAACTTTTTGTTTCTTTAATTTTCTTGGTATTCATCATTATTGCCCATAAAATGTCTGTTTTTACAAATTAACGTACGGCTATTTAAAAACGAGACAAATTTTATACAACACGGAACCTTTTAATATTAAAACGGTTGAGCATTATAATATCAAATACTGAGGTTACCTATTATCATAAATAAATATAATCGTTGAATATGAATACCATGTATACGAAGAGGTAACATTTTGTTTGTACACAAAAACCCTCATTATTATACTTTCGTTCATATATCTCCAAAAGTAATTTATTCTATTTTTTGTAGGAGTGATTTAATTATAATTGCTTTAAGTTGTATAAAACATAACTTTTTGACATATTATTAACTTAACACAATATATGAATATATATATATATATATATATATATATATATATATATATATATAGACATAAAAACGGCTTGTTTAGATATATATACTTACAGACAACAAATGGTATCCGAACTTGAACAAACTTCAAATAACTACAATAGTTTTTACTGAAAATGCCGTAAGACATTTTAGAATAAAAAATAGTAAGCTATCCGTTATCGAAACTAACTTGTGAAGAAATAGTAGTGGCTTTTATCGATGTATAGGAAATCGCCGAAAGTACGTTAAGCGTAAGGCTATAAAGAGAGAAAGAAGGAAAAAGAGAGATGAGCGGTGAAATAAATCCAAACCATATTCGAATTTGAACCTGCGATATATAGGTTAGGTTATATACTGGCATACTAGAATGCTGACAGTGGTGTGCTACATTACAAAGTTCAACATCAAAATCCATTACCTAAAACGACCCATAGAATATCTTATAAACATTATACTTATTACACAATACACCACGTGGTTATCGAGCTGTATATTTCCAAATCGTCTTATGCCCAGTGATACTTAGAAAAATTGTAAAACGGAAATTGTAAAACATCGAAGATATCTTTATTTTATGTCATTACATTACTATAAAAAAGAATTATGTAATATTTTATTCAAATTTTGATAAATATACACTTATTTATATTACACTTGCGTATCATAATTCCTGATTATTTAATTCTGGTCTCATATTTTAAAACGCATTTGTTTAAATCTCACGTGATTTGGCGATAATATTATAATATTTATCAAAAAATAGAATTTCCGGCGTTACTTCATAATTTACTGTTGTTATAAAAACAATTGAATTATTTATTCTTCTAAGAAAATTGATTAAAACAATATATGCAGTGATCATTGTAGCTAATATTTTTTGAAAATAATATTAAACTTGGAAAACTAAAATTGAGTTACTGTAAATAATATAAAAATATTTTAATATTATTATTCCGATATTAAAGTTGTTGCAATTACAGATCTTACACATAGTGTTTCGTTCGTATGTTCAATTTGGTATCGTTTGTAAAAGTCGGTTAACGTCTGATGTACGCATAAATAATAAATACCTATAGATTCCCACGAGAAAAATTATATTTCGAAACAGAATTAACTAGGGAAGTAAATAATATAAAGATATTTCATTTTGCACCTTCATATTGTTACAATACGCCACATATGGATGTTTTTAGTATCATAAAAATAATATTAACAATAATAATATATTTTTAAAGAATAAAAGGTTATGTGCACATGACAGTACTATAATTTAGCCGTGGGGGGAAATAACAAATAACGAGTACGTAGCTTATAAGGGATTATAAAATTCACACCGATCGACATAACATTTCCTATATTATTGGTTTCTTTAAGTATTGGTACATGTCAATCGATATGTGCCAATAGAAAAATTATCAATGTAATAATGAAATATTACATATTATATATTGTAGAAATGAGGTTGAGTAGAAGAAATTTTCGAGAGAAACGTTATCGGACAGATATACTGAAGATTATAATTTAGCCTCATGTCTGTAAGGAAAAACAATCGACGAAAGTGTATTTTAAACAAAGGGAAAATAACGCTAAGACGTAATTATGTAACATCGAATAACTCAACGGAATATTCCAAGAAAAATGAAAATTGAAGCAGTGAATCGAGATTTGTCGACTTACCGGATATATCGTCTCTGCCGGAGTCTTGGCCGGAGTCCGGGGATGACGAACTGTGGTTGCTGGTGCTGTTTTCGTCAGTGGACGAAGATCCGCCGTTCACTCCGCATCCGACACCGCTCACGGTGCCACTGCCAACTCCGTTGCCGAATCGATTCTCTAGTTCGTCGATGCGCTGCGCAACGCTCACGGCATGCACCCTGTCCGTCTCGTCCGTCGCAGTCTGCTCCTGTTTGGCGGCGGCCGACGCGACAGGTACGCTTGACAGCGTTTGCTGCTGCGGCGGTGGTAACGCAACGGACGTACGGTTCTGCTGCTGGTGAGGGTGATGGGTGATCAGATTGCTTTTGCCACTGATCGTATCTGAGGTGATTTCTGTAACCGGATACGAAGTGGTCCGGTTGAGGAGAAGCGATGGCAGTCTCGACGGCGGTGGTTTTACTTCGTTGGGTAGCTGCATTTGCTGTTGCTGCTGCTGCTGATGGTGATGATGATGATTATGATGTTCTTTGATGGGATCGGTGGAGACAGCGGACGGTTGAGGCAGTGGAGGTGGGGGTGGAGGCGTTCCTTTGGTTGATAAGTTCATTGACCGTACACTCTCCAACAGCTGATGTCCATCGTTTCTATCAAGGCGAAAATAAATAGAAATTAATATGATCATACACTTAAAGTATACGGCAATTTTGTCCATACGAGTGCAAGAAGAAAAGCATATTGTCAATATGTAGGGAGGGCACAGGGATCCTTGCGCGATGTCTAATATTTAAAATCTATCAAAACGATAATAGAAAAAAATCGATGGAGAAAAATATGATTTTTTCATAAACTAAAAAGGTTATATTATACGGTAAGTGCATTAGAAAACCCTCGATGCAACAATGTAGGGCTGATACTATAATATTATAACGGACGTGTCGGCAATGATGGTCGAAAAATTCACGTGCATATCGCAGAAATAAAATTATATATTTACGAAAATCTTTGAAACATATCATCGTGAATCTAATATATTATAATGTATTTTACTGTATTATATTTACAACTAAATCGCACTCAATACATAATCACGTATTAAGTGAAATTCATACCACTCAATAACGAGTATTTTCGATCTCTGATCATATTAAACCGTATTATAAATAAAATGTTCTAAAAGCAATATTACGATTATATATTACGTACTCGCATCCTGACAGGTACAACCATTCAAAAACGAACAGACAGATGAACATCTGTGTGTTCCCTGACGGATCGAAATTGTTCTCCTGATCCCTAGCGGACCCGAAACGCGAGACACGAATAAACAAACGACAAGCACTCACTTGGCGGCGTTGCCAAACACGGATCGCATGGACGCGGAACTGGACGAGTTGTCGGACTCGGATGAATCACCGAAGTTGGACTTGACCGGTCCGTTGCCGTTAGGTATCCGCGACGGCGGTGGCGTCAGATCCTTCTGCTGCGCTGGTCTGCAGTCGGTGTAGTACAAGCGGCTGCCGTCATCCGACAACGTGTCCGGTTGATGGTATTGAGGTAGATGATACGCGCTGTGTCTGGGCGGGGGTGGCGGCGTGGACGTTTTGCCCAGCGGCGGCGGCGGTGGTTTTGGCGGCAGCGCCGGTTTGCCGACGACTGTCGTCGTAGGGCTACCGGCTTGGTCGACGCCCAGCGGTTGTTCCGTCCTCATCGGTTGTTTTGATTCTTTGGTCATCGCTGACATCGCCACTTGGTTGGCCGTCACCGAGTTCAACACTTGTGGCTGCACCGGTTGCACCTTGGTCGACGATGTCTGGTAGATGGGCGACACGCTGCTCGTCGGTTTCTGCGAATAAAATCATAAAAAGTTCCGTAATAAATTCGACCTCATCACCCCGCTCGACGACATTTTGCCGAAAGTGTTTTTTAGGATTCCCAAAAGCTGCGCGCAAAATATTTCCAGGACGATCGAATTAACGCCGTTTCTCAGTCTCTCTCTCTCTTTCAAGTTTTCACGCATTCACGTTTAGTCTAACACGCGCTAACTACTCTTAAACTACACTTAAAAATCCGAAGTGCTCGTACAACTCCCAAGCCAACGTTCGAACTACAACCGCGATAAGGATAATATTATTAATCACTTGGAATGCTTAATTCCCTGTAATTATTATTCATATGTTACACATATTTACTGAGCAAATGCACTATGAACATTATTAGTATTCCAAATGATTTATTTCGATGTTCCATACTTTATTATCGCTGTGAAATAATGTAGAAATAAAACAACCATTTAATGTGCGTAGTTCAACGAAAAATTATCAAATTTACCCATAGACTCAAAAATTCAACAATTGAAAAACGTAAAACATTGTTTTTTTTTACAGACGCATGCTTACCTGATGATTACTCATACCGGTCCCACCGACTGGTTGACTTCTAGTGGACAGCACCGTAGGATGTATCGAATAGTTAAGTGGTCTAAAATATGTGCAAATTATATATTGTTAGAATCATGGCACTAAAATTCCACTATTTCTCTTTGGTAAGTATATTACCTTTGAGACACATGGTTGGATGATGAAAGCGGTTTTGTATGATACACTTGAGCGTTGATTGGTCTGCTGGAACTTTGCATCTGTAGGTTTTGTCCTAGGTTTGTTAATACTTGACCGGCCAAAACAGATTTTTTACTTTGCGCTATCTCATTAAGTTTTTGATCGCCACAATAACCGGTGTTGTTATTAACTAGGTCTTTGTTATTATCCTCGGCAATATCGTCGTGCTGACATAACCACTGTTGCTGTTGCTGCTGTTGCTGTTGTTTCTGCTGCTGTTGCTGTGATGGCGGGAGTTGATTACCGTTGTAGTTTACTAATGGTGAGAATTTAGTATTATGTGGTAGAGTCTGGTATTTTGGATCGAATTTGCTGCCTCCAAAGTACGGGAGATCACCTGGATTTCCGTTAGTCTGTTCAACTTTATAGTTGTTATTAGATTGTTGGTATTGTTGGTATGGATCTACTATAGATTTTTGGATCAACGGTTGTTGAGAAATTGATTTTTGCTCAGACCTACCAGTCCGACCACCATAAGACTGCGGGTCACCTGTTGCGTGGCTCAAGATATTATCCTCAGATTTACGTAACTGAGAGTTTTTGTTCATGGCATCTGGTATATGGTTGAATGGTTCCACGGCCGCAACATTACCACCACTCATTTTGCCATCACACAAAGGCATCATTTGTTTTCCTGGTCCACCGAGAGATCTAAAAACAGAAATATCTAATTTGATTATCATTTGGAATTTTTTTTATTTACTATTCAGGTTCATAACGGATATACTACTAGCAGTGTGTTGGACTATCGAATGATTGAGAAAGTTATACCTTTTTTGCCGAACGATTGAAAACAATTGAAATGAACAAAGAACTTACCACTGACCCCAAAAAAACCCAAAAAATGATACGATTGAGAACGATTTATGTGCAACGCTGCCATATAGTTTGCTATATTATATTTATTTGACTTTTGAAAAATTCATTATACATACAATAAATATCCTTGAAAAAAGCCATAAATTAATAATTATAATCGTATACAAATAAGCGCCTAATAATATGTAATATATAATATGAATAAAAAAATTAAAAATATGTAGAACTTATAAAAATATCTAATACGAATAGACGAATAGTTTGTGCGACGACTAAAAAGCCTAACCGTCGTTTTCTCTTATCTGATATCTAAATTACTATTAACTTCCAGCTAATCCGATAAAAGTCCGATAAATATCAGCAGATTATTGTGCTCATATTATCGATCGATTATATTTGGCAAAGTTGAAAAAAAAACTCGAGCGTTCTCAATCGTGTAACCAAAAATAACGTTCTCAATCGTATTTTACTGGTGCGTTGAATTCGAATACAAATCCCACGAGAAACGGATAAGGCAGTAAATTTTATCACGACTAAATTTAGTGGAACTTAGATGGATGCTCGACGCTTCGCAGAAAACCACAAATAATCTAACAGCAAATTCACTAGTGCCAAGAATAAAATCAATAATCGTTATTACAGTGTAATTTACAGTATCACAACGGCCAAAATTGAATTACTTGTTAAATAATAAGCCACGGAAGCCTTTCAATAGCATTATTGCGCCCGAAAAGATTACTCGCCTGTTATTTTGTCCTGGTTTGTTAGCCTGAATTTGGTTAGCCAACTGTTGGTTGAGCAGTCTCTTTCTATGTAACCTGGCTTGAAGTTCCGATATTCGCCTATCAATTGATGCCATTTCTTCTTGTCTTTTGGATATAACTTCACGCTGTTGCACTAGTCTAACCGTTTGTTGTTCACCTAATTTGTTTCGATACTTAAAAATAATAACAAAAAGTTCAATAACATAATCAGTTATATATTAAATTATTTAAAAAAAATGATTTATTATTTATAACAATTTATAATAATATATATAACATATAAATATTAAAAGAAAAAAAATAATATTGGTTTTCATACGTTAAGCATCATTAAGATTGGGTTGGAATGATTTACAAAGCTTGATTGAAATGCTCCAATTAAAAATAATTATAAGTAATGAACACGACTCACTAATAATTCGGATCGTAGTTTGTCGAGTTCCATGGAGGCCGGAGACGTGGGTTGAGTATGTCCTCGTCCTTTTTGAACGTCTTCGAGTTGCCTAGTTAGTTCATCCACTTTGGCTACGGCCATGGTCAGTTCTTTTTCTTTTTCATTGAACAACGCACGAATTGATTCCAGGTCAGAAGCTAAAACAATTTGTGAAAAGTAAAAATTTGTTCTATGTAAACATTCAATAGAAAATTGGATTACACTTAGCATACCCAACCCCAAAGTGCGTAAGGAAATAGTTGTGGAGTCAGTTCTATCTGGAAAATCTACCTGAGGGTTAATACCAAACTGTCAACATTTTGCGAGATTATTATTCAATCGAATATAAAACAGCATTTCGATGAAATTACAATGAGATGTTTGTATATCAAACTATATAGAAAATAATCGCAAACCCCTTTGTGACCTATCAAAAATGGTAATAAATATGCACGAAAAATCGACAAATCAAAACAGATTGTTTATGGTTGGATTCTACGTAGTGGGCTATAGGAAAGTGGTTAGTATGATCTGTCATAGTATTTTCAATGCCATGATTTCCTAATTAACATGATCAATAATTCAGTTTCTTCTTTAGGCACTGATAAAAGTCTACTTTACCATCATTCACTAAAATGCATAAGAATACATTCTAAAAATATAATTTACCATTAATACTCTCTGTACTTCAGTATAGTATAAACAGTTTTCTTCAACTTATCATAGCGAGCGAAATTGAAAATGATTAATTATAATAACATTATTAAAATATAAATTTACTCATAGTTATTCGGTTATAATTTATTTTATTTTCATACTTATATTATAAGATTCGTTAAAATTTTAAAATTAATTTAATTTTACTAAATAACATCCAGTAGTAGATAGGACTAAACAAGTAAATAAATGAACTAAATAAACAATTGATGGCGGTGTTAGTTCTTGTTTGGTAAGAGTAATGCGCAGCAATGCAGAAATGTGTAAACCCTGTGATAACGAAATTAACGAGTCGAGTAATAATTGAAAGCGGGGTAAGCATTAATAATGGTTGACAGTGATTTGAAAGTATACATATGCCAAAGACATAATGGTTTTTTAATTATATCCGAATAAAACAACATTTATTTTTTTTACTAAGATACTATTAAAATGTAATTTTTGGCATTTTAATCAATCAAAAAAATATATAAACTAATAATTTGTATACTCAAACAAGATATTTGGTGGATTAAAAAGTTTTATTGTAGCTCAATATAATATACTACGATAACCTTCAAAAAATTAAACTATTTTCATATTAAATAACAGAAATTAATTGATTCATTCAAACAAGATAACAAATAATTAATTATTATTAGGGCTTGGATTTTGATGCATTGCATCTTTTTTCTGGAATGCTTGATACAATGCTTTTCAATATATAACTATGTTTCAAGTAGGTACACACTATTCAGACAACGAACATTTTTGGGGAATTTTTTTTTTGCATTTTTCAAATTTTTAACGCTTTAATGATATCGTTAATATTTTTTAGGTCATATTGACGTATTTCTAATAATATTAGGAAAACAATGAAAATTTTAAATATAAATACACATTTTTTTACTACAACAAAAAAAAGTAATCTGAGTTTTATATTAACTGATCTAAAAATTTATCTTAATGTAATATATGCTAACTAGTAACTAATATACCTAATTGAATAATAAAATAGATAAAATGGCCAATTTGTCAATGTGTTTACGATGATAAAAAACTAAATAAATAAATATAATAGTTTAAATTTGTTTTCTTATCGTTGTGGTCGTACTGATAGTGGTGTGTTTTGTGTACAAAGCGTTTAATTTTCTAGTGTTTGTTATTTATTTTTTATTTTTTTTTTTGTAAAATAAACATATGTAAAAATGATATAAAAATAGCATAAAATAACAGATTATGTGCATATGCCAGAAAATATAGAGAATATAATCAAAGGAGTGAAATTGTTGCTGACAAAAAATTCATTGTTTTTCAGCATATTTTTCGGGATAAATATATATAAAGATTACAACGAAATATAAATATTAAGCTATAAAAATTAAACTTTACTAATAGAGTATCAAAATCGTCAATTTTTGAAAATTTGACAAATCAATTTCTATCTGTTAATATACCGCTATATCATAAATTCAATTTGATCATTCCATTTTTCAAAAATGTCTAGAAAAATTTACCTAACGAATCTACGATTAGAAACCAAAACCAATGTTATAATTAGGAAAAATACACATAATAAAAATATTTGGATTTATAAACAAGACTACAGTTGTAGTGGGACTTTATGTAGCAAACGTGATTGTTGGAACTTTAGAAATGGATAAACCTAGGAAAATATTTTTACTTAATTGTGATGTAATAGAAAAAGCAAATTACAGTACAATTGCAAAATTATTGGACAAATATCTTTCGATTTTATGGCCAACAGAAATATAACATGCCACAGTATTACATTTTTAACGTGGCCCCATACATGGTTAAGTCTGAGCAATTTATTAATATATTGCATTCTAAAAAGATCGCATAATTTTTTTTGGCGTACGCTCTACATCACAGGTTCTCAAACTTATTTCATCCACCGCCCACTTTGAGAATCAATAATTTTCCAGCCCCCCCCCCGTTAAAAAAATATTTTAACTTACCATCTGTTATTTCTTTTAAAAACAGATATTAAAATTTATAATATATAAATATGCTATATCTTATTTCTAAGTTTTAACATAAATTTTAAATTAGATTTTTGGATGACAGCAATTAAAACGCATACTTATTCGTACTTAAAAGTATTTTTATTAAAATGAAACATTTATTGTTAAAATTATTCATATTAAAAGTATTTTTATTAAAATCATGCTATAAAAAAAGTTATGAATTCAAAATTTAAAATTTACTTAATGTGATGGATGAACTTGATGCGCATTAACGAGTTTGTTAATATCTGGCTTAAATTTACTTAAAAACAGCCGTAAATCACGTGTTCAGTAACAAGCAACCGATTTCTATTTTTTGTTAGCAGTGTTGCTTCAGCACTAAATCCACGTTCAGACTAATACGATGATGGGAATGCTATCAGAAATCGTTGAACAATCGACCATAAACTAGGGTACAGTTCCATGATTGGCTTTTGCAGCCAAAATTCTTGATAGCCATTCTTAAATTTGAATTTGATTTCCTCATTTGTGGTCAATTCTAAAAGTTGTTCTTCTAACTGGGATGATTCTGCTGTATTGACTTTTGAAAAAAGGATCTAATACCCAGTCTGGTATGTCCATGTTTAAAATGTCCTGGAATCGTTCTTTGAAATCATTGTGGAGGTTTTCCAAGTGTTGACAATAAATAATCAAGTCATCGTTGATAAAAGATGCTGCTGCTAAATTAGGAAAGTTATTAAATTCACGTCGACCAATATTTCTCTTATATAATAGCAGTTTGGCAACGAATGTAGAAATGACAGTTTTTGTTTAAATCAAATTCAAGTCGTCACCTTGAAGTTGGAGATTAACATCATTAAATAACTTTTAGAGGTCTGTCAAGTACGAAATATCATTCTTTGATGTGATGAGGTTATCGCGAAGTCCTGTGTCTTTGTTCTTCAGGAACTCAATCACAGAGTCAAACAGATTGTAAAATCGAGTCAGACAAGTACCTTTTGACAGCCAGCGCACTTCTGTGTGAAGCAGCAATCGATTGAAATCTTCATCATTAGCAACGCAAAGTTGACTAAATAATCTGTCATTTAGTGAGTTGCTTCTGATTCTATTAACTGCTCTAATAACATAATGCAGTGATGTATGCAGGCGTTCACTCAGATTTTTTGCAACTAAATGCTGGCGATGAATGACGCAATGTACAGCAAGCACGTCTGGAACTTTATTTTTAAAATACGCTATGAAGCCTTTGTGACGCCCTGTCATAGCTGGGGCACCATCAGTAGCAATTGACGTAATATTCTTCAGAGGGATTTGCTTTTCATCACAAAACTTTTCCAATGTATTAAATATGGTTTCTCCTTTTGTATCTGTCTCTAAATTTCTCGCAAATAATAATTCTTGACATATTTTCTCATTTTTTATAAACCTTACGTATGATAACAATAATGCTTCATTAGTTGGTAAAGTGGACTCATCCAACTGAATTGAAAATTGACAAGTCTTCAAATGATTGCACAATGATTCTTCAATATTTTCAGTCATCTCATCAATTCGTCTTTGTACAGAACTATTGCTCAAAAGAATTTTTCGCATAATATCTGCCGCTGGTTTATGGAGCACAGTTGTTATTACATCTTTTATTGCTGGTAAAATTAAGTCTTCCCCAATGGTATGTGGTTTGCCTGTTTTAGCAATTAACAGTGATATATTGTACGACGCACGAAGCCCATCATTGTCTTGCTTAGAAGCCGCAGAAAAAAGTGTTGATAAAGTAGGTTGAGCTACGTACTTTTTTTCCATATTTTGAAAGTAAGTCACATCTTTGTCTTTCATATCTGAATGCATTTTATTAAAATGATCGAGTAGTCGAGAAGGCTTCATTGCTTCATTTGAAAATGTTTTTTGACATATGAGGCACATTGGCGATGATGAATTTGTCCGACTTTGAATAAATCCGTATTTTATGTATTCCGCACTGTATTGTCTTTTTTTATTTTTTGCTTCCGACATAGTTTTCATTTCAGAAATATGTAGATATTTTATACGTGCACAAAATGATTAATAAAAACAAAATCAAAAACGCGATCGACACGGTTCGACACCAAATCGTATACTAAAGCCTGAGTATACATCGTAAATTAGACACAATATAATATTATAAAATATTAATACCATTGATTAAATATATATTTAATATTATTTAATCAATGTTAATACTAAGTTGTTGGCTATTGTCGCCGTTACGATAACGCTAATGATCATTAAATACGGAAGACGACGTCGACGAAACTTCTAGGCAACCCGTGGGCCGCCGCGTCGCACATTACGTATTGGTGGTATATTATTAGCTATATTATTAGTTAATCCGCGATCAGTGAATGTGTGGTATTTTGCTTTAATAAATATAGATTTACTATATTACATATTATATTAATATAATATAAATATATAAATGAGACTTTTTTTTAATA